CGGCTTTGGGACCTTGGAGGCCCCAATCGCCCACAAGCCCCCAAAGCGTGTCCCGATTCCCTACCACCGATGGCATGGCAAAGTTTCTGCTCGCCCTGGGAGGCGATCAGCTGTCCTTGTTCCGACAGTATTGGGCGGAATGCCGCTTTCTGATGCAGGACCCACTCGGCCTTCATAATACCTATACGACCACGCTTCGGGCGATAAAGAAGTTCGGGGGGGCGGAACCAACGTCTCACTCAATCGATCTCACTATCGATCTCACAATCGATCTCACTATCGATCTCACTGTCGGTCTCACAACCAATGTAAACATCTACGTCATAATTGACCTCAACTTGATCTCACTATCGATCTTCTTACTGCTGGTATCACTATCAATCCTACCATCGATCTCGCTATCGATCTCACTATCGATCTCACTGTCGACCTCACTATCAATCCCACTATCAATTTGACTATTGATCTCATTATCATGCTCACGATCGACACCACTAACTATTGATCTATATCGATCTCATGATCGATCTCACTATCAATCTCACGATCGATCTCACTATCGATCGATCTCCCGACAGATCTCACGATCGATCTCACTCTCGATCTCGCTATCGAATTCACAGAACACCACGGGACACCGCGGGACACCGCGGGACACCACAGGATTCCACGGGAAACCACGGAACACCATCGGGACACCACGGCGGAACACCGCTGGACACCGCGGGACACCACCATGGGACACTATCACGGGACACCACAGGACATAGCGGGACACCGCGGGATACCACGGGACACTAGGGGATACCACGGGACACCATCGGGACACCACGGCAGGACACCGCGGGACACAATCGACACACCGCCAGGACACCATCTGGATAGCAATCGAGACACCGCGGGACACCACGGCGGGACACCCCCAGCACACGCCCGCCACGCGGGGGGGGGCGGACTTATGTCCTCGCCGCGCCCTCAGGAAGGTTGATTCCTCTCGCCCGCCCACGCAGCTTCGCCTCGCCCGCACGCGCGACATGAGCCCGAAACCGAAACCGATGTTTTGATGTTTTGTTGTTGTTGCTGCTGCTGCTGCTGTTGTTGTTGTTGTTGTTGGTGTTGTTGTTGTTGTTGTTGTTGTTGTTGTTGTTGTTGTTGTTGTTTTTTCTCTCCCACCCCTAATCTGAGCACCCCTCAAGGCTGTCAGCCCGCGTCGAAGAAGGAACGCTCTGGCCGCGCGCTCGGCTCAGCACCTCGAGGCAGGTGGGCCTCCAGCCCGCCTCCCCGCCAAAATCTCGCCGCCCTCGTGCCAGGCCTCGTCCAGCGAGCTCTCTTCCTCCCGCTCTTCCTCCACCTCATCTTCTCCTCCTTCCCGGGTAACACTTCCAAAAGCCCTGGCCGTTGCAACCCCTCCCCCCGCGGGTGCGACCGCTGTTCGAGCCTCGGACCAGCAACGGTTGCTCTTGGGGGTCGGTGCTGCGCAAGGTGGGTCTGCACCGGCTTTCAGCCAAGCTTCGTGCGGACGGATTGCCCTCGTCCTCCTCCTCCGCCTCCTTCTCCTCGTCCTCCTCTCGAGGCTTAGGCGGGCATGTACATCTTGCACATGTCACCGATCGCGTCGGCGAGGGCAATGGCGGCTGCCGGATCGGCCGACTGCTTCGCCTTCACCGCGCACGTCATCGCCGCGTGGTGCGCCTTGAGGGCGTCCACGTAGTCGCCCTCGCTCTTGAACGGGGTCTTGGGGTCACTGACAGGCTTCACGCGCTGGCAGAGGCAGTACTCGGCGATCGTCGAGATAATCTTCGTGCAGTGCTCCTCCTTGGTGTTCACCCAGCGCGTCGCCTGGTTGAACGACTGCGCGGTCATCGTGCCCGCGAAGATCTCGTTGATCTGGTTGATGGCTTTTGCGATGGTGGCGCACGCCTCCTTCATCTCGGCAACGAGCTTGGGGTCGTCGAAAATGCCGCACGGCACCTGGCAGTGGCCGCCGCGGAGGCGGAGCACCAGGTGGAGGGTCGACTCCTTCTGGATATTGTAGTCCGAGAGGGTGCGCCCGTCCTCGAGCTGCTTCCCGGCGAAGATCAGGCGCTGCTGGTCGGGGGGGATGCCCTCCTTGTCCTGGATCTTGGCCTTGACGTTGTCGATTGTGTCGCTCGCCTCGACGTCAAGGGTGATCGTCTTGCCGGTCAGCGTCTTGACGAAGATCTGCATGGCGTTCGCGCTTGGTTGAGTGGTTGAAGCAAGGTAGCACCTCGAGCCTGCCGAAGACTCCTGGAGCCAGAATTGCTTGAGCCAAAATGGCTACGGATTGTTGTTGTTGTTGTTGCTGTTGTTGTTGTATGTTGATTTATTTTCCACATCTGCTTTGAAGGTGTGCGAGGTGCATCAGGAACTCCGAAATTACGGTTGAGGGAAACAGTTGATCAACACTCCCCCCCTCCCCCGCAATTCAAAATTGGCAAGGTTTTCGCAAGACCGCTCGGAGGCCCCAAACCGGAAGATCCGAAACCAAACATTGCATTTGGGGGGAGGCGGGGGGAGGTTCCAACCAGATGTTCTGCATGAATGTTGCTTAATTGTTTCCGACACCCGTAGCCTCGAATCCAACATTGTCCCGGGGCCCCGCGGCCGATCGGGATCCCAGCCATGTCTTCCTCGACCCCCGCGGCCAACACTTTCTAGTCCAGCGGGTTGCACCAACCCGCACAGCAGAGTGGGTCACCGCACCGTCCTGGGGCTGCCGATCCGTGCCCTCCCGAGCGGTGTTCCAGAAGCGGGCAGCGCATCACCCTCCTCCTCCTCCTCCTCCTCCCTCTCCTCCTCCTACTCCTCTTTCCTCTCTCCTCCTCCTCCTCCTCCTCTCTCCTCCTCCTCCCCTCTCCTCCTCTCCTCCTCCTCCTCATCCTCCTCCTCCTCCTCCTCCTCCTCCTCCTCCTCCTCCTCCTCCTCCTCCCCCCCTTTTTGCCTTCTCCTCCTCCTCCTCCTCCTTATCGCTGCCCCCCTTCAAGAACCACACTCTTGAGGGAAACTTGACGAAAGTGGCCATGGGTTTCAGGGAGCGCTTCGGGGTTGGTTTGGAATCTTCATGGGACTGCCTGGTCATTGGGTCATCTTCTCGCAACGGCGCCCCTCCTCCTCCTCCTCCTCCTCCTCCTCCTCCTCCTCCTTCTCCTCCCCCGTCCAATGTTGCATCGGATCCCCCAGTAGGCGGGGGGGGCTGCTGAATCGATACGTCAAGTTTGTCTTCAGGAAAGTTCTGGGACGAGAACGGCGTCATGATGCGACTGGCCCGGGACACGCTCCAAGATCTCCAGAGCACCCAGCGGCCCTCGCCCCTGGAGTCCGCGCGAACAGGGAGACCTGGAAACCCTACAACGCACCCTTCAGTGCAAGCAAGCAGCCTCCTAAACCCCAGGGCAGGGGGAGGAGGAGGAGGAGGAGGAGGAGGGAGGAGGAGGAGAGGAGGAGGAGGAGGATGAAGAGGAGGAGGAGGGCGGAGGAGGAGAGGAGGACGAGGAGGTGGAGGTAGGAGGAGGAGAGGAGGAGGAGGGGAGGAGGAGGAGGAGGAGGAGGAGGGAGGCGGAGGAGGGAGGCGGAGAGGGAGGCGGAGGAGGGGAGAGAGGCGAGGAGGAGGAGGAGGAGGAGGAGGAGGAGGAGGAGGAGGAGGAGGGGAGGAGGAGGAGGAGGAGGAGGAGGAGGAGGGAGGCGGCGGAGGCCGAGGAGGAGGCGGGGGTGGAGGAGGAGGAGGAGGCTGAGGCGGAGGCGGAGGAGGAAGGAGGACGAGGGAGGGAGAGAAGGCAGAGGAGGAAGAGGGGGAAGAGGAGGAAGCATGGGCAGAGGAGGGAGGGGAGGAAGACTGGGCAGAGGAGGAGGAGGAGGGGGAAGAGGAGGAAGCATGGGCAGAGGAGCCCAGGAGGAGCGATCCCCAAACGACCCCCTGCGACAGCACCGGAGCCATCCTCGAGACCGCCGCCTCGCGCGGGAGGCGCGGGCGGCGCGGGCGGCGCGGGCGGGCGTCCTGCGCCCGAACGGCCTGTCGGGCCCCCACAGGCGCTGCCAGGCCGTCTTTTTTCTCTCGGCGGGGGTCGCAGGAGGAGGAGGAGGAGGAGGAGGAGGAGGAGGAGGAGGAGGAGGAGGAGGAGGAGGAGGAGGAGGAGGAGGAGGAGGAGGAGGAGGGGGGGGTCGGCATGCCCGGCGCTGGCCTCTGCCGGGGAGCACAATATGCGGGAACGGCAAGGGGAGATGTGGCTCCTGGCGGGTGCTGTCGACGGCCGTTTTGGGGCGCCTCGGGTCGAGCTGGGGGGTCCTCGGGTCTGGCCTTCGGGGGCCTCGGGTCCCGCGAAACCAAGTTTGTCCAACGAGAGCCCTTCTGGGCAGCCTCCGAGCCGCTGTGCGGCCTCGGAGGCCTCCAGGAGCCCTCTGGCCAGTGCCAGACAGCTTCATGGAAGCGCGCTGTTGCACATGCCGCCCGCCCGCAGCCTGTGCCCAGCCGGGGGAGGGGATGTGGTTTTGTCTCGGCCGGAGTCGCGAAGCCTGCGGGGGGGAAGGGGAAATGGACTTTCTCTTGGCGGGAGTCGCGTGGGGGACGGGGGGAATGCACGTTTGAAGGAACCACAGAAGGAATGCGTGCGCACACGCTTGTGAGGACTATCATGCAATGAAGGTGGGAATCGGCCCCGAACGAGAAGGGCCTCCAAGATAGCCTAACATACGCCCAAGACGGTGCCAGAGCATCCCAAGAAGGCCCGAAGACGATCCGCTCAAGATAAACCTCTGCAAGCCCCAAGAGGCCTCCAAGACGCTCCAAGAAAGCCCTCGGCGCGTTCCCAAGAGGCCCGAGGCCCTGAGGAGGCCAAAAACCGCTCATTGTCTAGATGTTTAGGAAAGATGTATCGCTGTCGCCTTCGATAGCTTCCGACGGCCCAAGACGGCCCAAGACGCCTCCCAGAGACCCCCAGAGAGCGTCAAGACGGCCCGAGAGGGCTCCCAAAGGGCTTACATCTCGTTTGCCACCCGATGTCGGGATTCAAACCTGAACCGTCAATGACAACTTCTAAGCTGAGATGATCCCTGGGACCCAACCGTTTCACGATCAGATCTTCTGCTTCTGGCCCCACGAGAGGCGGAGGAATATCATCTCGGCCGCTGCCTGTGACACCGTTTTCGATCAGCGGACAATCTACTGCCTCTCGACTGATGTCGATCATCTTATCCATCCCTAAGTCACGCCGCCATGCAACTTGACCGTCACATTCGTACACTCGGTGTCGATCTGTGTCTGCCTTAGCTCCGCCCCAGCGTCACACATTGGTCAGGGAGTACCGTTGACTATAGAGCTTGCTCTTGGTCCAGAGGCCTCCAGCAATATGTGTTACAATAAGATCTGATTGGATATGCTCACCCCGTCCCCTCATCCGCTGAAGCTCATGTTTGATCGGATCATAATACGGTATACTATCCCATCCAAAGTACTCTTGGGCTTGGATCTCTTGGGACCTCGGAGGCTACGGTGTACGAGGCTCTTGAGGCTCTTGAGGGTCGGGAGGCTCATGTTGAGGAGATCCACCAAGAGGCCCTGGGAGTCCCGCTGGCGGTACGCTGCAAACGACGCAAATCAAGTGAAAACAATGAGATTACAAAAACACCCGATCCACTTCTCGACCTGGTCTGACAGCTGGAGCTTTGCTTCTTGGGTGTCTCAGCCTGGACTTATGCACGAGCCACCTGACACGAATTTAATGCGTCCAACGCGTCAATTTCTTCCTGAGTCATGGGGTGGCGATTGGTAAAACACCGGTCGGTCATATGCCGGTTCTCGACACATGTGCGATCGACCGAAGCCTCGTGGAAAAAGTTGTGCGACATGAGCATGCGCCTGTGACGTGCCAAAAAGCGCGACCATGGCACTCATGGCAAACAGAAGTGCCTACATTCACTGGCCCCGCGTTCAAATGCCGACGCGTGTCTCCTCCTCCTCCTCCTGCTCCTCCTCCTCCTCCTCCTTCTCCTCGTCCTCCTCCTCCTCTCATAAATAACTCCTCCCTGTCGCACCCCAGTGCCAGTCGGAGAGGCGGGCCGGGCGTTTCGCCTGAGACTTCCTTTCAATGTATGGCCCTGAAGCGTAAATATTCGCAACAGTTTAACAATTGGAGGGCGGGTCGCTTCCAAACTGTGGCTCTCGTCTTCTGAGCGCCGCGCACGTCGTCTAAAACATCGCAAGAGTTTCACGGATTAAGGGCAGGTCGTTTTCAAAATGTGGCTCTGGCCATAGCGCCGCGCATGTTCGTCTTTAAAATGTGCAAGGGTATCGCGGATTGAGGGCGGTACCTTTGCAAAATGTGGTTCTCGCCTTAGCGCCGCGCACATTCCTTTTAAACATTTCCAAGCGCTTCAGGGATTGAGGGCGGTTCCTTTTCAACATGCGGTTCTCGTCGTAGCGACGTGCACGCTCGTCTGGAACATTTGCCTGCCAATTCTATGATCTGTCGACGCCATCCATGGGTATGCCGCCTACTTTGTGCAAGGAGGGGCGGATTCCCATGGTCAGAGTACCAGAAATGGCGTTCGGAACGATTTAGGATTGACAGGCCGCATCAGTTACCCAGATTCGCGGTGTTCACGTCCAGGAATGGTGTTCTGGCAAGATTCAGGATCGTCAAGACTCAACGATCAGGTTGATTCGGGGTGTTGAATGTCCCGAGAATGGTGCGCGCTTCAGGATATTCAAACGGTTGTCTACCAACGGGGCACTTTCCTCAGTGGAAATGAATCCTGGTAGGGGCATGTGACGACGGAGCTTGGAGGGAGGGTTTATTACAGCATTGTGGATGCGTCTTGGGTTTGCACTGGTCCTCCTGCTCTTCCTCATTCTCCTCCTCCTCATCCTCCTCCTTCTCATTCTCCTCCTCCTCCTCCTCCTTCTCCTCCTCCTCCTCCTCTTCCTCATCCCTAATTTGTCCCCCTCCTTTCGATTCCCCCCTTCCTCGACGTCCGTATCCTGGTTCACCCTGTGCACGTGCCCAAACAAATCATCGGCAAGAGAAAATACTGCGAGGGAGGCGTCGTCTCCTCGAAGTCCACAACGTCGATCGACCTCTTCTGATGCCCAGACGCCTCGCAGACGATCTCCCACAGGCGATCCTGCTGCGGGCCTGTCATGTTGAGGTCGCCGAAGTTCTGCAGAATCATGGCAGTCATGACTCATGACGATCGTAGGAGGCGGGAGAAAACAAGGGAAGGACGCGAAACAACACGAGGTTGCCTTCGAGGAACAGGCGGTGGGGCGGTCGGCCTGTGAGACGTACCGAACCATGGGCAGAGACCGTTCGATGCTTCCCTGTGGTGCCCCATTTGCCCCCTAAAAAAAGCTTGTCTGCAAAAGGTTCTATAGAAGCAGTATACGATAAACTAAAAGTGCGCTGCGGCCTCCGAAATCAGCCGGCGACGTTGCCTCCCGTGGCCCTCCGCGGCCTCTTCTGTGGCCTCTCCCGTGGCCTCTCCCGTGGCCTCCCGCTGCCGTCCGTGGCCTCCCCATCGCCTGACCTACCCCCTACCCATCGGTCGGGCAATGGGAGGCAACGGAAGATGGCAGCGGGAAGGCAGGGGTAGGCACACGGCAATGGTAGAAACATGAAGTCGGAAGGCGGATATGGTAGGTTGGGTCCAGGTTCCTGAGGCAGGAAGGATATGGTAGGTTGGGTCCTGGGTCTGTGGTCGGACAGAACACAGCAAGAGCACGCCGGTTCTTGAGGCAGGAACGCGCCTGAAGTAGATTGGGATCTGGGAATCCAAAGACACCTGCTTTCAACGACCGGCGTGTACCCTTGTCCCTTTATCCATGTCCATGTTCTCCGGTCCAGATTCCCATTCGGCTACACGCAAGAGTGACCCTGGGTAAGAGTGACCTTTGGTGCGCGGCTTTTTGTGGGCCGCGGGGGGACCAAACCTGGGCGCGCAAGCCGCTGCTCCTGCTTCCTTCTCAGCCATCTGGGGACCCACCTGTGCCCGCACCAAAGGTCACTCCGGCGAAAGGTCACTCTTACGTCTAGTCGACCCATTCCCATCACCATCCCGATCCATAGATCCCTAGCCCTGTATCCCTGTCGTACCCCTGTCCCTTCCCCCAGCTCAAATCCCCCAGCCGTGGCCCCGCCCCCAGATCGCAACGTGTAAACTTTGGTCGGGGCTCCTGCCGCAGGGATGTCAGTAACGAATGCACCCCTGGAGAAGAAGTAGGAAAAACAGGATCGAATTATCCCAGTGCGACCCTACCTAGGAGTTGGAGCATCTAGGAAAGCAACATCTACATCTACACCGACAGCTACATCTACACCTGCATCTACATCTACATCAACATCAACAGCGAGACTCACATCTGCATCTACATCTACACCTACATCTACACCTACATCTACATCTACATCTACACCTACATCCACATGCTATGCTATGCTGCGCTATGTTATGCTGTGCTATGCTGCGGTATGCCATGCTATGCTATGCTATGCTGCGCTATGCAATGCTATGCTATGCTATGATATGATATGATATGCTATGCTATGCTGCGATGTGCTATGTTAAACTGAGCTATGCTATGATATGATATGCTATGGTATGATACGCTATGCTGCGCTGTGCTATGCTATGCTATGCTATGATATGCTATGCTGCGCTATGCAATGCTGCGCTATGCTATGCTATGCTATGCTATGCTATGCTATGCTGATGCTGCGCTAAGCTAAGCTAAGCTAAGCTAAGCTGGGCTAGGCTCAGCAAAGCTAGGCTAGGCTAGGCTAGGCTAGGCTAAGCTAAGCTAAGCTAAGCTAACCTAGGCTAGGCTAGGCTAAGCTAAGCTAAGCTAAGCTAGGCTTGGCTAGGCTAGGCTAAGCTAGGCTAAGATGAGATAAGCAACGCTAAGCTAAAGGGACGTAACTGGGGGAACCGCGGGGCGGATGCCGGGGGAACCGCCCTTGGCGCATTACACTGCCCGGCCCCTTAAGCTCACCGAGTAAGAACCCTTCTAGGCAGAGCCTAGGTCGGGAATGAAGCTGGGCTATGCTGTGCTATGCTGGGCTATGCTATGCTTTGCTATGATATGCTATGCTGTGCTATGCTATCCTGCGTTATGCTATGCTGTGCTCTGCGATGCTAAAGCTCAGCGAAGCTAAGATGAAGCTAAGATGCGCCTGAGCTAAGATACACCTGAGCTAAGATGAAGCTAAGCTAAGCGAAGATGAAATAAGCTAAACTAATGAGATAAGCAACGCTAAGCTAAGGGGACGTAACCAGGGGAACCGCGGAGCGGATACTGGGGGAACCGCCCAGGGCGAATTGCACTGCCGGGCCCTTTAAGCATACCGAGTAAGAACCCTTATAGGCAAAGCCTTGTTAAGGAATTCGGAAGAAAATCGTAATACATACAATGTCTCGTGCTTGGTCTACCCAACGGAGCCCAAATCGAGCACGGCAGAACCGCAACGCTCCTGGACTCTCCATCAATCCAGTCTTGCGGTTGACCGGGTGTACCACCCTTCTGCCCACACTTCGCCCGGATTTCTCATTCATATCATATACTCCCCATGCCCCGCCACCCGACCGACGGCAGCCACATCTGAGACCTTCCATCCCATCAATGCAAGCAACTACGAAGTCGACGCGTTTCTTCACAGCGTGGGCGTTCTGCCGTCGACATTGGAAATCGTGTGGCAAGACTGAGAGGAGGCTCACATCGCGTGCGAAAGGGCGATGTGTAGCTCTCGCCCAGGCGCCGTGCAGGCTTCGTCTGAACGTGGTGATCCCGTCTGAACGCGGCGCATATTCATTGCACCAGCTTCACGGATGGAGAGCAGCTGATTTTCAAAATGGGACCGCGCGCGAGAGGGCTGAGTGGCGCTCTCGCCGGAGCGCCGCGAACAGATATATAATTAGTTGCTTCGAACGACCCCCACCGAAACCTTCGGCGTTCGGTCCCAACGGTGCGCGCGCCTACTGGAAGGATGTGCGCAGTGCCTGGCGTTGCTGTATACAAAAGCGTTGGACAGTATTCCGTGGAGTAACTCTCTAACATGTTAGTTATGCTCTATTATGTCCATGCTTGTTCTCGACGGGCCGGCGTGACGTCGTGACGCCTAGGCGAGACCGTCGAGTCGTGGCTACTGCATATTTTTTTGATTCGCGGCCCGCAAGGAAAAGTCCAGAGGGCGGTAAGAACGAGGCTGGGACACAGCGCGCGGGAAGCAGATAATTAACGGCGCAGCACCGTGCCGGCCAAGAAGCAGCTGAGCGTGCCAGCAGCAGAGAAAAGTACCGCTGAACATCTGGCAGCGATGGAAGCTTAGGACAACCGGCCGCTGAGCGTGTGCCAGCGAGGAAGGGGGTAGGCAAAAAAGGCCGGACCCGCTGGTGGAGCCGGTGCGTGTGTGTGGTAGGATTGTGCCCCGATGTTGAATGTGACGCTGTGTTCTCAGATGTTCTGATATCGACGGGCAGGCGTGACGTCGTGCCGCCTGTCACGCTATAGAGACATCGTCGTATCGCTCACTGATGTGGCTCTTGGTTCACGTGGCGAAGCTGACCAACATGCACGTACGGTGTACTATGTTACGATATCCCTCTGCCCTTCCGTGGTCTCTTTCGTGAAAACATGCTCTGCCATGCACGCTTCTGCCTCAGTACGCTTTGGTACGTTATGCTATACTCTGCCCTTTGGCACCAATGTTAGAGCTTGATATGCTCTCCCAACCTATGTTGTAATATGATATGTTCCGTCATGGTGTTGCCGGTTCGGCCCAATGAAAAAATATGATATGAAATGTTAGTATGGTTTGCTATGTCCTGTTCTGTCGTGGTACTCCTCTCCTCCACTGCACTACTGTCGTTTCTGTATTCAAAAACGGTTCAACCGTGTTCCATGTAGTAACGATTTTTCATGTTATGATATGGTATGTCATCTTCTGATGTCGACGGGCTGGCGTGACGTCGTGACGCCTGTAACGTTAGATGCGTCGTCTGTTGTGATGCCCTCTTCACCTACGTATATGCTTCTCTTCTGGTTAGATATGCTGTGTTATATGGTTGGAGATGCTATGGTAGGATCTGCGTTGCGGCACTATGTCATTGAATGATATGCTGACAAAATATACTATCGTGTGCTATGTTCCGTGATGCTGTTGACGGCTCGGCTCAGTACATTATGTTATGATCTGCTCTGCTAGTGTGCTTCGCAATGCTCTGGTGCAGTGTTGTGATATGTTGTGTGATGCTGTGTCATGATATGATGCGTCCTGTCATAGTGTATTATGTTATGCTCGGTTATATTATGTTATGCTGTGTTATGTCGTCTTCTGTTCTGTCATGCCATGCTCTGGTATGTTATGATATTGTATGTTTGTGGGCGGCTCGGCGCAGTGTAATATCTCATGACCTGCTATGCTAGTATGTGGCGATCTGCTACACTGTCGTGCTATGATTTGTTCTGCGATGAAGTGTATGTAGTGATATGGGATGTTCTGTCAACGTGTCTTATGTTTTCCTGCTATGCTATGTTGTGTTATCTCGCATTATGTTCTACCATGCTATGATATGATGTGTTATGTGATGTTACATCATACTCGGTTGCCGTGATCTTGCTATGGTATGCTCTGTCATGTTATGGCATGATCGTGTTATGTTATGTTATCTTATGGTGTGACATGCTGTGTTCTGGCAAGTTCGCCGCTAAGCCGCTATGCTCTGCTGTCGTCTTATGATGTGATTGGTGACGCTGTGTCATGATATGATATGTTATGCTAATGTGTCTTATGTGATGCTCGGTTGTGTTACATTATGTTGTGTTCCGTCGTTTTCTGTTATGTCATGTTCTGCTCTGGTATGTTCTGTGATGTGATATGTTGGTGTCCTCTGTTCTGTCACGACATTGATATGTTATGTTCTGCCATGTTCTGTCATGCTCTTGCTCTGTTCTATCATATTCTGTTGTGTCATATTGTGTTCTGTCGTGTTTGTCGAGGGCGCGAGGCGGGATACCCGGGATTCTCGGGACAACTTGCGGTCTGGCGGCCGCTGTATGCAGGGCGTTTTCTGTCGTGTTTGTCGAGGGCGCGAGGAGGAGTAAACGGGACACTCGGGACAACTTGGGGTCTGGCGGCCGCGGTATGGAGGGTGTGTTCTGTCGTGTTTGTCGAGGGCGCGAGGAGGAGTAAACGGGACACTCGGGACGACTTGGGGTCTGGCGGCCGCGGTATGGAGGGTGTGTTCTGTCGTGTTTGTCGAGGGCGCGAGGCGGGAAAATCGGGACACTCGGGACGACTTGGGGTCTGGCTGCCGCGGTATGCAGGGTGGGAGTGGCCGGGAAGTCTGTTCTTAAAATCTAACGGCCCCAACCTGTCCGGCGGGGAAGAAGTCACACTTCGGCCTGTGCGCGGTACGTATCTTCCCCCTCGCCAGATCGTCGCAAGCTGAACCGCGTGCGAGTGCCTTCCAATCCTTGGAACGCGCGCCAGTCCCAACATCCTGTATGTGAGGGATGGTCTGATCTGCCTAACTCGACTAGTACTGTGATCCTTCTCCGTATGCTCCTTCTCATGCTCCACCTTCTCCAACGCCTGCTTCTCGTCCAGCTCCAGCTCCCGCCTCTCCTGCTCCTCCTTCTCCTCGTTCTCCTCCTTCTCCTCCTCCTCCTCACCATCATCATCACCACCACCATCATCGCAATCATCATCATCATCATCATCATCATCATCATCATCATCATCATCATCATCATCATCATCATCATCATCATCATCATCATCATCATCATCATTACAATTATCATCAACATCAACATCAGCATCAGCATCAGCATCATCGTCATCATCATCATTATCATCAGCGTCATCATCATGATCGTCATCATCATCATCATCATCAGCAGCAGCATCAGCAGCAGCAGCATCAGCATCAGCATCATCATCATTATCATCGTCATCATCATGTTCATCCTCATCTTCATCCTCGTACTAATCATCCACGCCCTGCTAATGCTCCTTCTCCCATCCCCGTCGTGTTCCTGCTCTTCCTCCTCCTCCTCCTGCTGCTCCTCCTCCTTCTTTCCCTCATAACACCACGTTGCTTATCCTGCTTGCCCACCTCTGCTCCCGCGCATCACGCGAAACTCACCACGCACCGAAAAACCAAGGCAGGAGGAGCAGGAGGGCTAGGGTTGGAGGGAGGGCGAGGAAGACGAGGAGGACCAGCAGCAGTAGCAGGAGTGCTAAGAGAAGTCAGAGAGTGTGACAAGTACAGGCGCCACGGCAAGAGGCACAAGCGCGGGACGAACGACTCGCAGGCTTGCCGCGGTCCGGCACGATGAGGGCCCACTCCATGTCCTCGGAGTAGCCCACACCACAGTCATAGTAGGAGGTTTACCCTCCCACAGAAAGGGGGAGGAGGGAGAGTGGGACAGGATGGCGAGGAGCGGGAGAAGAGGGAAGAGGCATGAGCAGGTGAAGGGAGACGAGGGGGCCGAATCAACCTGTCGCGGTTTTAGATGCCCTGGTGTCCGAGAATTTGGACTCGCCGAAACTGTCCAGCAGCTGGAAGGCCTCGGCGAACGACCCCCCCTTCTGGTTCAGAGCCTCCCTCCCGATGCTCTCGATGACCTTCCGCGCGTAGCCGTCGAAGCCCTCGCCGCCCGAGGCGTTGTTGAAGAGGCCCTCGAACTCCCCGAGCGTCGCTCCGGCCTGTGGGTCGGAGGCCATCTTCTCGAACATGGCCCGCACCTCGGCGTCCGTCACGCCGCAGCCGAGCGCCGCCAGGCCCGCGCGCAGCTGCGCCTCCTGCAGCAGCGCCTCCGCGCTGCCCGCCCACGACTCGAAGGCGGTGGAGAGGAACATCTTCTGAGCGTGCAGCGCTGGGCGCACCTGTCGGCTACGCGCTGGGGTTGCGGATGCCAGGACAACGGACACCCTAACAGTCCGATCACTGAATTCGCAATATGCTGAAATTCCCAGAGAACTGTTCTCAACATGTTTTAAACATGCTTCTTACATAGTTAAGACATGTTTGACACATGCTTTGGACATCTGGAAACTATTTGGCAACACGCTTCCTCTCCATTGATCGTCCTCCACAACGCTGGAGCGACCCCGGGCAAGAGTGACCTCTGGTGCGCTTTGAGGGCCCCAAATCCCGAGCGCGCGGGCCCGCGCCGGGGGGGCCCCCTCCGTGGGAGCCCGCGCCAGAAGGGTCACCCTAGCGAAGGGCGGTCTCACGCAGGGCCGAACCTATAAACGGTGTTTTTCGTTTCCGTTTTGCTTTCTCGTTCTCCCTCGTTTTTGGTCTTCCTTCCGCCTGTTTTCACGCAAAACGAAAGCGAAACGAGAACGGCCCACGCAATCGCCAAAACACCGTCTTTAGGTCCACCCCTGGTCTCACTCCTGCGCGTAGCCTTATGTTGTTCCCATCCTACTTAAGGACCGCATCCCAGAAATAATTTCGAGCACCCAGAAAATTATCAAAAGAGTGTCGAAACAGTGTCGAAACAGTGTCGGGCGAGTGTCTCCCAGGGCCCGACACGTGAAAACCCTCGAGTCTCGGCATTTTTTTCTGGCGCTCGAGATTCCTTCTGGTGATCAAGGCGAAAGTAGGTTAGAGCATCATCAGCGTAGCCGAGCGCGTAACCTTAAGTCGGGCCTGTCCCCCTACAGGGGGATTTTCGACGAAAAATAAAAGATACCCCAGAAAATATCAAAAAATAATACAACAATAATCCGGGGACTAGTTCTGGAGTATCTTTTTCACCTTTTTGGGGGCACTTTTGGGGGACTCTTTTCTTTTTTTCGTCGAATATCCCCCTGTAGGGGGACACGCCCGACTTTGAAGGGGCCCTGTGACACACAAATAATACACACAAATAAAAGGATTCCCCATATTTTCCCATATTTTCTGTCTTCCCCCCCACTTCCCATAGTTTCCCATATTTCCGGGGAATCGACGATTAATTGTGTCTGTGTGTTTTTTCCCCTCCTGAGACTTACGCGTAGCCGAGCCTTGTGCATGGCGGCCCACAGGTCGCCACCGGGCAGGCGCTCCGCTGGCGCGGGCGCGGGCCGCCCGGCGGGCGCAGGCGCGGGCGGCCCCGCCGGCGCGGGCGGCGCGGCCGGGAGGCCGCGCGGGCCGGCGAGGCCTCGGTTGAAGTCGGGCGTGTCCCCCAACAGGGGGATTTTCGACCAAAAACTAAAGATACCCCAAAACTAAAGATACCCCACAAACTTCGAAGAAAAATAAAAGATACCCCAAAAATAATTTAAAAAAAACACTCCAAAAATAGTCCAGGGACTAGTTTTTTTAGTATTTTCTTACCTTTTTGGCGTATTTTTTGGGCATTTTTCATTTTTCTCGTCGAAAATCCTCCTGTAGGGGGATAGGCCCGACTTGAGCCTCGGTGGAACTCCTCGCGCGAGACGCTGCCGCTGCTGTCCTGGGGGAACAAAAAGTGGTATAAGCATAAAAGCTCGGAGGTGCGCGCGGATTTCTCGGATCCGCGCTGGACCCCCCCGCGCCAGGGGCGGCGCCGAAGGCGCCGCCAGGGGGGTCCAGCGCGGATCCGAGAAATCCGCGCGGACCTCCGAGTTTTTATGTTTATGCCACTTTTTGTTCCCCTATGTCCTTGTCGAACGCCTGCCAAATCTGCTCGAGCTGCTGGTCCGTGAGGCTCTGCTCCATCTTGGCGAACAGCGCCCGGAAGTCAGGGTAGCGCACCTCTCCGCCGTCGCCGGCCAGCACGTTGAACAGCGAGTCGACGGTGCTGCCCTGGCGCTCGAGTGACACCCGGATGCGATCGCACAGGTCCTGCATGGCGCTGTCCGCCACGCCGCTGATGGTGTCGATGGCTCTCTGGAACTCGTCCCGGGAGACGCCTCCGTCGCCATTCTTGTCGAACGTCTGCCACAGGGTCTGGAGGTCCTGGTCAGAGAGCCGCGGCTCTAGCCTCATGAAGAGCTCGCGGAAGTCCGGCCAGAGCACCTCGCTCTTGCCCTTGGCCAGCGCGTCGAACACCTGGTCCACGGACGACGCCTGCCGGTGCATGGCCTCTATGAGCCGCTTGCACACCTCTCCCGCGGCCACGCCGAGGGCGGCAGGCCCGGCGCACGCCCACTTCAGGAACGGCCGCCACAGCACCAGGCCGTCATCGATCCGCCGCTCCACCAGCAGCCGGAGCTGCGCCCACTGCTCGTTGGAGATGCCCCCGCCCTGGCCCAACGCCGCGCGAAGCTCTTCCTCGATGACCGCGTCCCCGCGTGAGGAGAGCGCCGTCTCGGGCATGGGCCTGCCGCCCTGCATCGCCTGCCTCACGCAGCCGCTGACCAGCTCCCGCGCCCAGCGCTCCTCTGGCACGCCCTGCACCGCCGCGCGGTTGATGGCTGCCTCCGGGAGGAGGGGGGAGGGAGGAGGAGGGGAAGCAGGACGACCACGTGGCGCAGTCAGTCAGCGCACAGAAGCTTGCGCAACACGCACACACAAACACCCTTGATGCCTCCCAGAACACCGCACAGTGTGTGGGGGGGGAGGCAGCCTCGAAGGAGCAAGAAGGGGGCCCCAGGCAGCGGGGCCGCAGAAGCGAGGTGGATGCACTCCTGCCTCCAGGTCCTCCGGCCGCACGCACGCGCCGGCGCCGCGCGCGAGCTCGGCGTGCAGCGAGCGCGCCTCTGCCTGGGAGAGCGGCACCTGCCAGATGCGGCAGACCTCGAGCCACTGGCTGAGGTCGACGCCCCCCGGCGCCGCGGCGAGCACAGACCTCACGTCGAGGCCCCTGGCCCCGATCGCCCGGCCAACCCGGCTTGCCAGCACCGGCACCTCGGGGCAGCCGACAAGCACGGGCGTGGCGACGTCCGCCCCCTCCACCACCCAGGACGAGGCCAGGCCCAGGACCAAATCGGAGAGGAGGAGGAGGAGGAGGAGGAGGAGGAGGAGGAGGAGGAGGAGCAGAAGCAGGAGGAGGAGGAGGAGGGAAGCGGGGATGAGGATGCTGATGATGATGATGATGATGATGATGATGATGATGATGATGAGGAGGGGAGGAGGAGGAGGAGGATGAGGAGGAGGAGGAGCTGGAGCAGGAGGAGGAGGAGGAGGAGGAGGAGGAGGAGGAGGAGGAGGAGCAGAAGCAGAATCAGGAGGAGGAGCAGAAGTAGGAGGAGCAGAAGCAGGAGCAGGAGCAGGAGGAGGAGGAGGAGCAGGAGCAGCAGCAGGAGGAGGAGGAGGAGCTGTGGCGCGCGGTGTGGACGAAGATTCATGCCTGGGGTGATCCCTCTCAGATTCGTCTCGTCAAGGTGAAGGGACACTGCACGCATGCACGTGTGCAGCTCGGTCTCAGCAGTGCGTTTGAAAAGGCTGGTAATGATGAGGCCGACTCGTGGGCCCAGTGGTCCGCTTCGCGCGTTCAGATTGATCAGAGCATGCGTGAGCAGGTCACTGCCAGGGCCAAGGTGTTGGCTCACTACGCCAGATGGGTGGCCCAAGTAGGGGCGAGTTTTGCCGATTTTGACTGTGAGCATGTTAAGCCTGATCAGAAGCGGTCTTGTCAGTCTTCCTGTCAGCCTATGCTCGTGGTTGAACAGCCCCCGCCTGTCACCACCCCTCGCCCCCTCCTGCGTGCTGATGCTGCGCACGCGCGTGTTGTTGCAGCTGATGGGCGCAGACACCTCGTGCATCCCTTTCAGCTTCAGGAGGGCCCCTGGTGCGTTGTGTGTGCGGTCTGTGGGCTCGGAGGTCGCAAAGTCTCTGCCAAGCTATCCGAGCAGTGCAATGGACCCCCTGCAACTTCCTCCCACGGCGCGCGCGTGTTGGCGAACCTCGCGCGCGCGCCAGCACGATACAGTCTCAATAAGAAGTGGCACCTGCTCCGCCAGCCGTTCAAGACTGGCGATCAGGTCCGTGCAGGTGATATTGATTCTCTCCATATCGCCTAACTCGTTTGGTTTTTTCTTTTCCTGTGAGTTCACTCAAGGAGTGAACGTGAGCGGGTGGTGGCGCAAGTGGTAATGGCCCCGCATCAAAGGGGAAGCGCCACCCATCCAGCTCAAAGGTGTGCGGCGAGACCCATCGTCGCGCAGGGCAATGTCGAGGAGGAGGAGGAGGAGGAGGAGGAGGAGGAGGAGGGGGAGGAGGGCGGAGGAGGTCGGAGGAGGGGAGGAGGAGGAGGAGGAGAAGGAGGAGGAGGAGGAGGAGGAGGGAGGAGGATATCCGGGGGTTCTGGAGGATGCGCACGGGCGCCGCGGCCGCTCCGGAGCGCTTCAGGACGTTCCGAGAGAGAGAGCGCTCTCTGGCACGCTCTGGAGCGACTTCTCCTGGTCCTGCAGCCTGCCCGACCGCCCAGGCCTCCTCCTCCTCCTCAGCACCCGCCGCTCCGGTCGCAAGCCCCCCCCATCTTCCCCCTAATCCTCCTCCTCCTGACTACCTACCAGACCACCCCAACCCAACCCGAAGACCCGAATTTCGGGTTTGGGGGGGTAAGGGTTCCGCACGTGTTTTTTCGATGTTTCCCGACCCCCCCCCCATTGGAAATCGAGTGTGAATCTGAGCCTTCGGGTTGGGTTGGGGTGGTTTGGTGGGTGGTGACCTCCTCCTCCTCCTCCTCCTCCTCCTCCTCCTCCTCCTCCTCCTCGCACGTAGCTCGGAATGAGTTCGCGTCCGCTTAGCTCGCTCGATCGTCCAGTTGCTGTAACAGCTGCGCTCTGGCAGCACGGGCATGCTGTGCTATCAACGTTGGGTCAACATTGGCCTGACTCCGAGTCGAGTGATATAAGTAGAAACTCAAAACCAGGCGTTGCACAGCGAGCAGACGTTGCTCACCACTCATGTCTTTGGCGATCCCCAGTCTGCGATCTAGAAGGACCCCAAACGGAGTCGACGGGACCCAGACGGATTGCACAGCACCCCGCAGCAACGGACAAGACAAATAATGTTTCTGCGTGTCGCACTCACTGGGGCAACCGAATTTGCAGGGGATGATGACTTGCCGAACCCTCCGCTCAGTCGTCCACCCACCCACCACCATCTTAATAGCCGAGGCCTGCCAAGAGGGCGGCAGAGCACTGAGACACTCTTTGAGCATCTCAGGCTGCCTTGGCTTGGTTAGAGAGAGGCGCTGCAGTCCACTTCTCCATACGCTTAAATATGGTGTCTCCTAAGTTTTCTTGAAAAAGTTCAACCTCCAGGCGCCTCGAGATCGTCCTCTGAACAGGGACCACGGGACCCCCAGCCTCCGCCTGGAGCTTCTGCGCCTCGCTGAGAGCATCCAGCGCAAGGGCGACGGGTCGGGCGAGACGACGGGGCGAGGACAAGCCATCAGCAGCGGCAGCAAGCTCCTGGACGTACGAGGGCTCGATCGAGGGGGCGGCCTTCGTCGCAGCAAGATCTTTCACAACCCCAACCCACTCTCGGAACGCACGGCGCCACATTAACTCCCTCGATGCTGCTGGGCCGATCCACGCCCCAAGCTACTCCGCCGCTGAGACAATTGGCATTGCTGCCCGCTTCGGAACAAACCTGCTCAACGAGTTGGGAGGAGAAAGGGGCAGAGACAGGGATGACCTGGCACATCGGGATCTTAAGCCACAGGCCAGCTAGGAGACGCGCAGCATAGAAAGTGCCAGATAAGCGTGACAGCGCCGCAAGATCTCTTACCGCCGCCCCCGCATCATCCGCGCACACCCCCACCTCCGATCCAGGATGCTTGCGAAGCCTACATCTCATGTCCCGAATTAGTGGGCCCATCGCTAGAGCCCATAAACTGCCACTGGACGGGCCACCCTGCATTACTCCAGAGTCGATCAGGCAAAACGGAAACAACAACCCCTGTAGCGCTACACGAGCCGTAGCAAAGGCATAGGTAGCATGCAGGAAGAGGCGAAAGCCTTCGGGAAGACCTACCAGCTCTAGAACTCTCCAAAGAAACACGTGGACAAGAGATGGAAAGGCATTGACAAAGCCGAGGAGGAGGGGGAGAGGAAGGTTCGCAG